TACTTATTTATTATTTTAGAGAGAGAGAGCATGAGCAGGAGGGGCAGAGGGAGAGGGAGAGAGAATCTGAAGCAGACTGCGCTGAGCATGGAGCCTGACATGGGGCTTGATCTCACGATCCTGAGATCACAACCTGAGCCAAAACAAAGAGTCAGACACTTAACTGACTGTGCCATCCAAGTGCTCCAGGATGTGATTCCTATTAACACCAGAAGATGGATGGTGGGATGGATGGATGGATGGATGGATGGATGGATGGATGGATGGATACATATATACATAGACATAGAAAGGTAGATATCAGTCAAATAAGCATGAACTTAGACTTTGTTCTTGGGGTTGAGCTCTACCATTTACTAGTTATGGGATTTTAGGGAGCTTCTTTGATCTCCCCAAGACCCATTCCTTGTCCATAATGGGGTTAACAATGTCTTCTTCGTGGAGCAGTGGTGAGGAACCAATGGTCGTAAACCAATGAGGGAAAAGGGTCTGGCACAGTGCCTAGCACACAGTGGGTCTCATATACGGTGGGGTGGTAACTGCTATCATTTGTTACGTGATTGGGCATTCTCCGGGTGGTGTACTGAAGGCACTTCTTTGGCAGGAGCCGGTGAGCCTGCCCTTCATGCTCTGTTTGACCCCTGCTTCAAGGGGATGTCTGTAAGGTAGGGGTTCTCAGCCTTCTTTCCCTCCTGACATGCACAGTGGGTGATGTTCACGTGCCTGGCAAACTCCCAGTGCGCATTTCACAGGGCAGAATTTCAAACTACACTCGTTTATCTCCAGGCCGGGAAAGCAACATTATTACAGGAATGACCTAGATCCACTTAAATTTATATTAAAGCAATAAATAAATAAAAGAAAGGAAAGGCAGTCACCCTCAGGTTTTTTGTGCTTGGGCTACAATTTATTGGCAAAACAGCACCCCACTCCCACCTGCTGTCTTACTGAGTAATAATAATGAGGGGCAAGGGTTAACAGGCACCCCTGGGGTCTCTCATTTGGTAGGTTTGGGGTAAAATCCATTCTCTCCTACAGATATGAAGTGAAGGCCATTGTCAGAGGGGTCTGGCCACCATCCCCACACGGTTGTGGAATGGCTCTCTCTTTGACCTTTGTTGAGTGTCTGGCTGAGGGGCTAAGCCTTCTTCTGTGGCCCTGGGGAACCACAGACATCAGGACTTTAGCTGGTGCCTTGGATGCTTGGCCGAGAAGTCAGGCCCGCCACGTCCAGGAGGGCCCTCTCAGGCCAGCAGGCAAGCTCAGGCTTGACCTGCCAAAGCAGCTGCTTTAATCCTCAGTATCTTCAACTGGGGAATGGAATCCTACCTCCCCTGATCCTCCAGGCACACAACCCCCTCAGCCCTGTGGGACCAACTGTTCTCTCCTCCGTGTCCCTGAAGCACTTTGTTCTGTGGCTATTAAAGCACTCATCGTTGGTTTAAAATACATTTCTACCCCTTCCAGGGCAATTATTTCTTACCTTTTGTTTGTTAGAGTTTTCATACAATCTCAAATTCTCCATTAAAATGGCTGTAGGGTTTGTCCGGTTTTCTATCTATAAACTTGGAGTTGAAAACATACATTGGTGGTTTGGAATCTCATTGGGTTCTTCTCTAGATAGAAAGGGTTGTGGAGGGGCGCCGGGGTGGCTCAGTCTGTTAAGCATCTGCCTTTAGCTCAGGTCATGATGCTGGAGTCCCGGGATCGGGATCGAGCCACGCATCGGGCCCCCTGCTCAGCGGGGAGTCTGCTTCTCCCTCTCCCTCTGCCCCTACCCCTGGCTTGTGTTTTCTCTCTCTCTCTCTCACTCACTCTCTCTCTCTCTCAAATAAATAAATAAATCTTTAAGAAAAAAACAGAAAGGGTTGTGGAAAACCTTGCTTGTCCAGAACCTTCACTGTGGACACTGTCCTAGATTCCTGCTTTCATCCATTCTGCAGTCAGCTAGTCATTCAACAAACACTGAACTCCCACTTTTGTGCCAGGCACGGTGCTAGGCGTGTGGTATATTGGGATGAAGAAGACCTGGGCTGTGCCTTGGAGGCTGACACAATGTGACTGTCTGGCCCTAGATTTTTTTTTGTAATTGAAGTATAGGTGACATAAAATGTTATATTAGTTTCAGGTGTACAAATACTGATTCAATATGCATTACTCAGTGTTCTCCATGATAATGATAGTCACCACCTGTTGACCACACAAAAGGATTGCGATATTATTGACCATATTCGCTATGCTACACTTTTCTTCTCTGTCATTTTTTTCCTTTCTTCATCTACCTCACCCTAGATTCTGCTGACGCATCAAAACCTCTTTCTAGAGCGTGTTAACCTTAAAAATAAAACTGCCAGCTATTTTACCAGCAAAAATGGGTTTATTTGGAGATAGCAGAGAATTGCAATTCAGGACAAGCAAGCTGGGACCAAACCACAGGCAAGTCCAGAGGCAACTCTGGGGAACAAAAGAGAGGGAGCTCCCTTCCAGAGAAAAGGGGGAGGTTGGGAGGGCTGTTAGAGAAACAAAAAAGTCCATTGGAGTAAACTGGGGGTTCGATGTGTAGTGGTTCCTCGCTGGCTGAGCGGTGACTGTCATTGACTGGGGTGTTGTGGGAGAGGAAACCTTTCTTCCTCCTGTTAGGGCAGTAAGATAGTAGCTGAAGTAGTATGGGACTTGCAAGGTGTAGGTCTTCTGCTGGGTAGGCCCAGGGGCAGGGTGCGAGAGCGCCCCCTGCTGGCCTCCCAACTCCATTTTAAACTATAAACTGAAATAAACTAAAGGTTTCCTTTTATTAATTTTCACAGGAAGCCAACACACAGGATTCCTTTCTGAGCGCAATTTCCTGAAGCTTTGACATCATCTCTATATTTAAAAATCTACAGGATTTTATTCATTCACCAAAAATCTCTGTAAGGCCCTGTACCTAGAGTCGTAGGGGGGTGCGGCAGGGATTATAAAGCAGAAAACATAAAATCCATTTCTTCTGGGCACCCAAATCTAAATAACAGGAGTCACACGTAGACAGAAAGTCTGGCCTTTTGTTTCATTTGTGAATACACGTGGCATGCTGTTGTCTGTTCTTTGGAGCATAAGTGTTGTTGGTGTGCTGTGTGCTTCCGCTGTGTAAGCCCTGGGAGAGGCCCAGGAGGTGGCCCTGCTCTCCAGGTACTTGGAGTGTCCCCGGGAAAGAGAAAGGGGGGGGTTCAGAGTCAAAGAAAACATCAGGCCGAAGTCAGTGGCTCAAAGAACACCCTGGGGACACCGAGGCCCAGCAGCAGCCAGGGTGGGCCTAGGGGTTGCTGCCTAGACGGGGAAGCTTCCAACCAGTTTTGAGGAATGGGACCGTCTTCAGGAAGGAGGGATGGAGGACGTTCCAGGCCAGGGGAGGGGCTTGAGCAAAGGTCTTGAAGTTTTGGGAATTTCTCATTAGAAACTGAGACATGAGGGGGTGCCTGGGTGGTTCATCTGGCTCTAGGTTTTGGCACAGGTCATGATCTCAGGGTCGTGAGATGGAGCCCTGCATTGACTGTGCGCTTGCCCGGTGAGGCGGCGGGGAGTGGGAAGGGTCCTGCTTGAGAGTCTCTCCCTCTCCCTCTGCCCCTCCTCTCTCTCTCTCTCAAAATGAATAAATAAAATCTTTTTAAAAAAGAAGAAGAAAGAAAGCAACTGAGATATGAAGGGACTGGGAATGTGGGCAGGGGTGGGGGGAGAATTTGCTCCAAACAATGCCCACTCGGGGCACGACCAGGAAGGGCCAGAGGGGGTGGTAGGTACTTGACGCCAAATCTGCCACCTTCGGGAAAGCTGTGCTTCTCATTTTGTCCCCATTCTTTCCTTCACCCAGACTCTGGCCCCTTCAAGGACGGCATGATAACCTTCACACTCCACCTGAAGTCCTACCTTCCCCCTGCCATTAGGACCCTGATTCTACAAAAGAAACCAAACATCAGGAATGTGTCCGGCATGGCTGGGGGTAAGTGGTGCCAGATGCTTAAAAAAAAAAGAAAGAAAAAATCCCTAGAAATACCAGCTGTGTTGGGCCCAGGAATTCCTGAGATTTCTAGCTTCGGCTTGGGAAACAGGAAGTAAAGGCAGGAGGATATTACTTCTGGTCGCTACTTAATTTCGCAGAAGGAGGTCTGGCCCTTGGGCCAGAAGACTCAGGTGTGAAAACCTTATCGGACAGCTCAGCACCAACAGTTCTGCTCGGTCACCCCACCTCCACAGGGAGAACCGCCAATGGCCTCAGATGATGCCGTGGGTTTTCCCTCTGGGGAAAGGTGCCCCCAGATTACACTGCATTTTAAGCTGGCTTTGATTTAGACCAAGTATCCCTGTTTTGGTCTCCTCTGCACCATCTCCCCAGTCTCTTCCCGGAGTGACGAGTGACACGCAAGGCTCTGAAAGGTCCTGTGAGGGAAAATAGACATCCAGGTTGTCACTGACCTGAGTCCCAGCAAAATTTCATGACAAGGAAGACTTTTCTGGTAACGGGAATCGCCAGATGGAGAGCAAGCAGAGTGCTTTAAAGTGCTACATCAGGACAGTTCTCATTGTTGATTGACACGTCTGGCTCTGTTGCTATTTCTGGGCCAGTAGAATTATCTATTGTTGCATAACAAAGCACCCCCAAGCTTAGCAGCTTAAACCATATTCTGCAATGAGGCTGTGCTTAGCGGGGTGGTTCTTCTGCTTCATGTGGTGTCCTGTCTGCTGGGGCTGGACCATCTATGATGGCTCCTTCCTCCTGTGTCTGGAGTGTCCACTGGGAGGATCTGGAGCAGCCCGGAGCTGGCCTAATGCTTCTTTCTTGCCATGAAGCCTCCCCAGCAGTGGTAGCCAAACTTCTTTACAAGGTAGCTCAGGATTCCAGGAGGACAAGCTGTAATTAGTTAACACATATCAAACCCCTGCTGTGTCATACTTCTTAATGTCCCATTGTCAAAGCAAGGCATGCAGCCAAGGACAGAGTCAACAGGGAAGGGGCCACTCAGGGCTGTGAATACGGGGGAATGTGCTTTATTGAAAGCCACCAAGGTAGTGGTTTCCCACAACCCTTCGTACACACAACATACAAGCAAACACCAGCTGAACCCTACTGCTCGCTAGAACTTGAGGAGCCAAGAGAGCTGAGTGCATCGGAGAGCCTGGGTGCGAGTCCCTGCTTGGCCCCTTACTGGCCATAGCTGTGGGTGAGCTGTGTGACCTCTCTAAGCTCACCTGGAAACTGGACGTAACAATACAATCCTCCCTAAGGAGCTGTCGGGAGGAGTACTTGAGCTCGTGTGGGTAAGATGGTCAATCCAAGTTGGCTGCTGTCATGGAAAGCACCACAAGGAAAGACGCTCATTCTTCAGGATGGCTGGACACCCCAGTTTGGGACTATGTCTTCCATAGTCCTTCCCCAGGGGTTTACATCAGATTAGGAATGTTAAAGGGGCTTTTCTCTCTCTCTCTTTCTCTCTCATCATTAAATATATTTAAAAAAAAAAGGGGGGGAAACATTGTGTTGAGGTAAAAGGCCTCAGAAGACTCACTTCATTTCTCTTCACAAAGAAAAAAGCCATCATGACCTTAGATAGAGCTCGAGAGACCCAGGGGATGCAGCAATCACTTCAGACCCTCCCCTCATGTGTCCACCACTCCTTCCAAAAAGCCACCAGCCACAGAGCCCTCTCTTGGTGTCCTGTTGCTAATGGGGACAACCAGGGGACTCTCTCCGATCAGCAGTGAAGAGGAACAAACCCAAAACACGGTGCCCTCTGAAAGTGCATTTAATTAAAAGGGAAACAAAGAAGCTTTGTGCACATAATAACTTGTCTGATTTGTGATGTTAAAAATCCACTTTGCTCTCCCAACAGGCTTTGGAGGTGAGGAAGGAGCGGCTAAGGAAAGCTAGGCTTCTAGGCTGGCTGAATTCCCTTCCACCTCACTCCAGATTATTTCTGGAGACACGTTGGGCTTGCTTGAGATGTGCAGTCAGCTTCCTTGGGCTTTCAGGGGCTGGAAGTGTCCAGTCTGCCCTCGTTTTGAAAATCTGTAGCGTTAGCAGGCACTGAGGGTTTGAGGTCAGTTCCAGGCCATTAGAGCAGAAGCCGGTTCTAGAACTTTCCCTGCGGATGGTCACAGCTGCTTCATTCTACCATCCCCAAGGAAGAAGGTGCCAGAGGGGGTGGTGGACCCACCCTAGGGAGGCCCGGTGCCTGCAGCCCCGTGGTGACCTGAGAGAGACTCGGGGGTCCCCCCGTCTCAGGCTTAAATCCTGGCCGTGCCTCGTACCAGCTGCACGATGTCACCTCATCCCTTCGAGCCTTGTTTTCCTCGTGTATAAAATACAAGTGATTCCATCTATAAACTACTTCCCACAGACAGCCTGGCACGTAATAAGTACCCTGGAAGTATTAGCGGACAGTATCATGGTGGAAAAGAGATGTCCACATGTTGATACAGCAAATTGAGCATTTAGAATTGTCAGCAAGCTTATTTCTCCAAAACAGCATAATTATGTTCTTCTTTGGGATGGTCTCTTTAAAGGAAATAATCCTTTTTTTAAAAGAAAAAACCATAACTTTTCTTGTTTGTTTTTTCTCCAGTTACAGAATGCTACCTATTTATTACATATATTTGAGAATATTGAGAAAAGCACAAAAGAGAACATAAAAAATCACCCAGTCTTGTCACCGGAGATAACCAGGATTAACGTGTAGATGTATTTCCTTCTAGCTCTTTCTCTCATCAATTTTATGAAAAGGAGAATATGCCAAACACACTGTTTCGTTATCTGGTATTGTTTCTTCAACCCTGTGTTACAAACATCTTTTCGTATCATGAAAGATTCCTTCTGTACCATAATTTTAAATGTCTACACAAGATTCCGTTGAATGAATGTAACTCCAACCCCTGCTTCCTGTACGCCTGTGTGTTGGGTAATTGACACACAGGAATGAACTCACAGGGTTCTCTTTGAGGTGGGTGTCGTGACTGCCATCTCATCCATGGGAGTACCAAGGCTGAAGGTCGCACAGGATTCAAACACAGGTTTGTTTACCCCAGGGGAGGTTGTGGCATGCAAGTGGGGGGTCCTCCTTCATCGCTGCAGCAAGCCTGTCCGCAAGACCCTAGGTCTATGCCAAACAGAAATGCACACATGCGGACCCCGAATTCCATGTATTAATATGCTCATGGTAGCACCATTGGTAATAACCCCAAACTGGAAGCCACTCAAATGTCTGTCTGCAACAGGGCTGGGTAAGTATGTTGCGGTAATGAGTATATCACCCAGCAACGAGGATGAACCAGCTGCTGTCAATCATGGCAGTATGGATGGATCTCCTAAACGTACAGCTGAGTGACAGAAACCAGACGCTAAAGGCTCACGGTGTATGATTCCATCAGATGAAGCACAGGCAAAAGTAATCTGTAGAAGTCCGGGTAGTGTCTGCCGTAGGGGCTGGGGTGATGACCGTAAGGGGCCCAGAGGGATTCTGGGACGTTCATAATGTTCTGTTTCTTGACCTAAGTGCTGGTGACCTGGGTGTGTTCGATTCCTGAAAATTCACCAAGCTGTACACTTACGGGCATTTTTCGGTGCTGAGCTGCAAGAAAGAGTTCAATGAAAAGGTTCTACCAAGAAGCAACTGACCAAGCATGTGTCTCTTCTGTCGCCAAAGCCAGGGCTCCGACCGGCCAGCGTGGTGGTCCTGCACCAGTCCCTGGCTCCAGCCTTTGAAAAGTTCTGCCAGGCCAACAGTGGCCCTCTGCCCCTGCTGGGCCTCCGCAAGCCAGGCACGTGGCCCTCGCCTGTCCCGAACGCTGTCCTGGACCCCAGGTAAAATGCTTGGGAGCGTCAACAGGGACCTCTGTGTCCAGCCACAGGGACCCTCCGTGCCCAGCACAGAGCCTCGCTCATGACTCGCTCAGGAACGAGCTGTCCTCCCCTCCATTCCCATCCCTACCCCTGCTCCTGTCCCGTGCCCCTGCCCTGGGAAAAATCTTGGGGATCACCCAGAAAGTTCCTTCCTGGCTACAGAAATGTTGCTGGCGCTGTCCGCCACCCACTTCATCACCCAGGCCAGAACCCCATCCGCACAGCACAAGAAAGAAAATAAAAACACTCGTATGAACCATGCCCAGAGATAGCGCTATTGACATTGTGCAGTGTGTCCTCCCAGACTTAGGGATAGAACATATTGCATCATGGCCCCACTGACTGTTTCCACAGAAGCACTGCAGGGAGCCCACATCGCTCCCACTGCCCCAGCTCAGGCTTGCATCTTCTCTGTCGCCCACTCGCCCCCCAGAGCAACTCTCCCTATTTCAATCTTCAGTGCCTTCCCGTGCCTTGCACCTTAGCCTGATAGCAAGACCTGTGCGGGGCGCCTGGGCGGCTCCGTTGACTGTGCATCTGACTCTTGATTTCAGCTCAGGTGATGATCTCAGGGTCGTGAGATCGAGCCCCGTGTTGGGCTCTGCATTCAGCAGGGAGTCTGTTTTTCTCCCTCTCCCCCTCTCCCTGCTCATACACATGTGTGTGCTCTCAATCTCTCTCAAACAAATAAAATAAAATCTTAAAAAAAAACAAACAAACCTGTAGTGACCTGGCCCCGGCTGAGTGTCCTCCCCCACTCCTGACCCTCCAGCCATCCCCAGTCCTCTCCCCAAAGAGAAAGCTTCTCAATAACATTCTGCTTTTATCTTTTTGTGGACTCCGGGGTGGGAGGGTCCCTCAGAAACCCCATCTAGACCTGAGGTCAGGTCCTTATGTTTTCCCTAACACCCCATGCTGCCATCTTGGGGACTCCTAGAGGAGATCATCGCCCTGTGGGTCACATGTTTGATGCCTCCATGCTGTTCACATACCGTTCCCTCTGCCTAGGATGTGCTTTCCTCCTTGTGCGGCTGGTGAGCTCCTATTCATCCTTCAGGACCCAGCTCCAGCACCGCCCCCTTTGTGGGAGAGAATGGATCTCTCCCTTCTCTGGGTCACTCCTCTACCTGGACTGTTAACACTAACTGCTCTGTGTTGCAAGTATTTTGTGTTGCCAGTGTAGGATTGCATGCTGCTTCAGGGCCGGGCCGGTGTCCCCTCTATCACTATGGTCCCATCACCTGGCTTGTGCCTGGCATGAAGGAATGGCTGAGCAAAATGATTTTGGAATGAATGAAGAATAGGCTTATAACCAGAATCTTTCAACTCTACGGAAGTTTCTTTCAGGAAAGAGAAAGGCCTCACCCACTGCTATAGCGCTAGAAACTTCTTGAGACGTGTGTCTTCTGTCCCTTTGGTCTGCCAGCCCTGCCTCAATGGCAGAGTTTTTGTTTTTGTTTTGTTTTTCTTGCTGGTTTGGCTGGTCTTGGGCTGAGGTTATAGAAAATGTAACGGGGTGGGAGCAGGGAGTACATTATATGCACGCTGATTTACTGGTTTCCAATCTGGCATGATTTGAAGGATGCCAGCAAGGTGCCTGAAACTTCAGCTCCAGACATCCTCTTCGCTCTCCCCTACCCTTTCAAACAATGCATGGTCAGGGGCCATCTTGGGCCTGGGGCCTGTGAGCTTTCCCTTGTGTCCCCAGGACGGGCTGTCCCCAGTTCCAGAAGTACGAGTTCGGCGCCTGCATGGGCAGCCTGACCTCGCCTGGAGGACTACACGGAGCCCCTGGAGGACATGGTGGCCTTCTTCGTGGACTGCGGCTTCTCCCCGGAAGCAGCTCTGGAGAAGGTGGGGCTCCCCAGAGGAGACTCGGCCCGCCACGGTCTCATGGGGGCCTACAAGGTAAGGACACAATCGACAATGACTTGAAAAGGTGGGTCACCCTGTGTTTTCTCGTGGTGGGGAGAACACTGACATGGGAGAAAGGAGACCGACGTGGCCCCAGCTCAGCCACTTCTAGGTGTGCAGCCTGAGCTGCTTCCGATGAGAAGCAATTTTTTTTT